TGGTATCATGGCTACCCAGCAACAGAGCTCAAAAGTGTGGGATCATTTTAAGAAAATGAAAGAGAAACCTGTGTAATGTCTGCAGAGCAGAACTTGCCTTCCACGGCAGTTATTTTTAGTTAGCATATAGCTCAAATCTAATGATGGTAATATAATAGCAGCTGCATTCTGGCGCGGTAAGCTCTATGTTTTATATTCAATTAACGTATGATCCGATTAGTCGACTAATCGAAAAAATAATCAGTGATTAATCGATAACAAAAATAATCGTTTGTGGCAGCCCTACTCACGTCGACGATGGGTTAAACGGCAAGAATTACACAGAGAAATGCATAGTTTGAGACTAATTACGCTGAGAACGGAGACATTTTGGTGAAACCTGGAAAATAACGTGATGTGATACAATCCGATGTGACTCTCAGAGTACGTGTTGGGAATGACTCTCAGCTACCCACACATAAACACAGCTGTGGGCCAGATCTGGTGTCAAGCCGCCACTGCTGGTTTGACAAGTGTCAACCAGATGATAGCACTGTCTTTAAGATGACATGCTACAACTAGCCCCGGTTGTGGTTTGGTTCACGTTGTGCTGGCCCATCATGAACCACCTCTGTTAAACCACATCTGGACCGCCAAAGGTCCAGCATACTTTGTATTGTGTGGGCCAGAACTGGGTCAGATAAATTTTGCTTTGTGGGAAGCAAATCAAACTTCAGATCAATATCTGTAAAACTGACCAAGTTGGCTAATGTTGATTAGCCGTGGCGGCCATCTTGAACTGGGTTGATTCATAAAGCTGAGGAGTTGTAGAACAGACAGGGATTATTTTTAAAGTTTCATAATAAAACCTCTCAGATCATTTTTTTTCTCTCTAACAGATAAATGAAAACAGACAAATATGAAGCCGACATACCCGCAAAAAAAAAAGGTGCGCTCTCAAAAAGCAGGTCCAGCTTAAAAGAAAAAGTCCGAAAATGTCTCGTTAGATTTAAAGAGGCAGCCTCAAAACGAGTTGATCTGAGACACACTGCAGAACAGAGGTGAAAGAGGGGCTTGTGGAGTTACAATAAGGAGAAATTCAGACCAAAGCTTTGCAGTTCCACTTTTTACAGACCCCAACTGGATGATTTCAATGTAAAAAAAAGGATTAAAAGCACAAGTCTCATTTAAAACCACACAGGTTTACTAACTTTATAAACAAACTCAACTATAATAATAAGCTAAAGTCCAATACAGCACAACTGTTGACTATATATAAACATCACGAACTAATTAAAGTTTGTGCCGTCCATCTGAAGCCGGCCCACCTCTCAGACGGGACTATGTTCTGTCTGAGAGGTGGTTCTGATCAGGACCGGCTTGTTGTGGCTGACGGACGAGCGACAGGATCCAGTTTGTCTTCAGTTACTGATGTCAGCGAGGGTGTGGAAACATGTTGTGACAAGTTAAACACTAAAGTTGGTTTCAGAGTACACGCACGCGCACACACACACACACACACACACACACACACACACACACACACACACACACACACACACACACACAACGGGTCATATCACTACTTATTGCAGATTTTTAGATACAAAAAATATTTAGGACTTGGTATTCCTTGAAGGGATGCATATCACCTGCTAATTAATGTCGATTAGCTGTAGCGACCATCTTGACGTGGACTGTCTCCAAAGGTTATTCACTTGTAGAGCTCCATCTAATAATTACTTTCTGCGAGCTTCCTTAAAATCCGCCCGCTGGCTCATGTGATATTTTGCTAACAGACAGTCTTTCAGAAGTGGGGTGGAAAACAGACGCCTGGTTTTATCACGTGGTGTCCACAGGTTTACTAGTGCATTCACCTGTGAGTGGTTTTAATGTTTTTGGCTAATTGTGTAACTTCAGAGTCAGGCTGGAAAACACCTCCAGGAACTACAGCAGTGAGTCAACGGTTTCCCAAACTCCTCACCATGTGACTCATGTCTAGAAATAAGGAAATGGTGTCATTTTTTTCCCTTTTTATTTTATTTTTTCATCCCTGGGCTTCCTGCAGAGAACATAACAGAGCTGGTTAGGACTCAGGTACAGGTCTCACCTGTGCAGTGAAGAAGGCGGGAGTCAGGGAGCCGGATGGGAGAGCCGGGCTGTTCAGGGCGATGGAGCCGATGTCGCTCCCTGACAGCAGCAGGGACGGCGAGGAGATCTCCAGAGATTTGGGCTTTTTGCTTTTAGGTGGGAGTCCGTCTCCTTGGTTGGCACTACTGTTAGTGCTCCTCTTCTCGGGGGGCTGCAGGGCTCGCTCCCTATGGCCCGAGGACAGGTTGAGGGGCTGAGCGCTCTGGTCAGAGTCCACCCCGTCCTCCTCCTCCTCCTCGGCGGCGGCGGGGCTCCAGCTCTGGCCGGGCTGGGTGCTCGGGGAGGACGGGGAGTGGGAAACAGAGGGGAGTTTTGCCGGCCTGGGGGACACGAAGGACTCGGACTTGCCGGAGGGGGGCGGGCTCCTCTCGCCGGCGTTGGCGCCGAAGCGGATGACGGAGCGCGGCTCGTCGCGGCGCTCCCGCAGGGCGCGCAGGAGCTCCGGCTGGTTCTGCAGGGAGCCCAGGCTGAAGGACGAGTACAGGCCCGAGTGGAGGTAATCCCTTCGACACTGCTGCGCCGCCAGGCTCCTCCTCTCCGCCTCCTCCTCGCTCTCCTCGCACTCCTCCTCCTCTACGTCCAGCTCGTGGGCCTCTCCCTCCTGGGGCGGGAACCTTCCAGAGGACAGGCCCATCTCCACCGCCTGCGGGTCCATTTTCAGGATCTCGGGGAAGGAGACGAACTTGTAGACGAACTTCTGGCCGATGACTTTTTTGATGATGTTCTGCAAAACAAACGAAGAAACAACAAAATATGACAAATTTCAAGGAAATGCTGAAGCCAGCAGCTACAGCCCAAAACTCAAACATAACTTCCTCATAAAAAGAGGGGCTCGTTAGTGTCACCGTGGTAACCATGCACCTGTGTCTCTCGCTCCCTGACTGCCCAGTTGACAAGCGGCAGGCGACTCCAGTGGAAATGTGGTACAAACTGCACACTAACTGCTAGAAGAGACACTTTTTATGACGTTTAAGAAAGATTTAAAAAAACTCCTTGCTGTCTCCAACCAGCTGGATGATGCAACTTCCTGTTTTTGACTGGATTTCAAAACAAAAGTGCCAAAATGAGAATTCCTTGATGGTCGCGCCACATGATATTTTGTTAAATGGACATCACCGGACAAAGTTTTATAAGTTATAATGAAAATACAACTAAAACTGCTTTGAGAATTTATACAGGATGAACAAAACTTTGAAAATCATGCCAAATAAGAAAATATACTTGAATAGATTTAATGTAATTTGTGACCAATCACATCGAAACAAGGATTAAGTCAAAAAGTGGTAAAAGGAGAAATAGGCAAATATAGTGTTTTGACTAAAATGTCAACAAAAATTGCATTTTGTCAAAATATAATGAATAAAAGCCTTATCAATGTATCATTTGAATGAACTGCCTGAAATATAATCCTAAAACAAAAATTTGAAGCACTTTTTGAGCAGTAGCAACAAAAAAAAACTGATTGAGGAAAAACGCCTTAAAATTTTGAGATTTTCCCTGTGAGCTAGCAAAGTTTTGTTTATTTTTAGCTGGGAAATCTCAATATTCAAATACAATCTGAGGTTTCCTCTTTATAAGGACATCAAAAATTCTTCATTAAAAGGACATCAAATTAGGATTCAGGCTAAATATTTATGTATTATTGTAACCAACAAGACAAATTAAGTCATATATATGGATTTAATTATATCAGAATGATCCAGGTATCAAAATGTGGCTTTTAAAGCCAAGAATCTGAAAATGTAATTAGGTCATTTTGACCAAATTTGACTTAATCCTCATTTTGATATAAGTCACATTTTACAGACACTGTTGAAAAAATTATTCAGTTTTGACAGTTGCACCACGACATTTTGACACTTTAAACATCACAAAAATGACCAAAAAGAACAGTTTTTGAAAGGATAAAGTAAATGTATACACAGGAGATATGTTGCATATCTGTGGTTGCTTTTATGCATCTAAAACCTTTTTTACCTGTAAAAAGTAGAGCTGGACCAAAAAAATTGGTGCCATGTCATCGATCCACAAGTGAATTTTTATGCTGTTATAATTGATTATTAATCTATTCTCGATTAATTGTTAGATCCTCAGTTTATAAAAAATACATCTGAACTATGCAGGCGTAATTTGTAATTCTTCTCATCTAGTCTTAAAGGTAACCCTGACGGATTTGAGAGAAAGGTCCTGGAAGAACAGACTACTAGCATGATCCAATCAACATGTTTCACTCCCTGTATTGGTAGTATTGATCACATGCCATCACATGCACTTAGCCTGTAACTGAAAATATGGATGGAGGACAACAGAGCTGCTTCATGGAAAAAGAACCTCAGCTTAGCCTGTTAGCTTTAGCTTCGATGCTATATTGCCTTATATGTATTATCTCAGCGTTAGCACGACGAACAAGGTGAACTAACGCTGAGATAATACATATAAGGCAATATAGCGTCGAAGCTAAAGCTAAAGCTAACAGGTTAAGCTGAGGTTCTTCTTCCATGAAGCAGCTCTGTTGTCCTCCATCCATATTTTCAGTTCCAGGCTGAGTCATTTCTACCTTCTCCTCTCTGTCAACGCTCTCTGGTTTCATTTAAGAGTCGATCGTCAGATATTGTCCAAAATTAACCTTCAGGGTGGATATAGCTCGCTAGCAGCCTCGCACCAAGGACCTATCCATGTCATCTTTTATCCAGAATGCTTTGCGTGTAAAAAAAATTGACTCCGTCTGTGTTAAAATATATATTTTAAAAATTACTAAACTGAACATCCTTCAGTATTTTTACAGTCTTTATTTTACAGTTAAAATATATGTTTATTAAATAAAGTCTAATGTTACAACTAATCAGGGATCCCTTTAAACTAAAGTACATGGATGTTTGTCGGCTCTTCAGTGCACCAACAGGAAACCGCCACACTAAAATAATTTCTTAGAATGTTGTTTCAAGGTCTGAAAAGCTGCGTGTGAGGCGAGGAGGAGGAAGTGAAAGTGTGCAGCACAGGAGACGGTGGGTCAGAAAAGTTGAGTGTAGATTTTGTCACAGTACTTCAAGTGCTCTCACAGGTACTTTCACATGCACTGAAAAAAAAAAAAAGAAAGAAGAAGAGACATTTCCCAGGCGGCTGAGTTCACCTTGTCGTAGTAGTAGCGCAGGGCCCTGCTCAGCTTGTCGTAGTTCATGTTGGTCTTGTTCTTGCGCAGCCCCCACAGCTTGGCCACCTCCTCAGACTTCAACAGCTTGAACTCGCCGTCCGTGGACGTCCAGCAGATCAGGTGCTTGTGGCTCTGGTCGAGCAGCAGCTGCAGCAGGAACTGCCACAGAGTGATGGCGCTGTCCATACCTGCAGCGAGACACACCAACCGCTCAGCATCTAACACTCAAACCTGACGAGACAAGAGGTTGTGTTGAGGAATTATTCTTTATAATGTGCTCCCTCTGGGGATGTCGGCTGACTGAGATAGCAGCAAAACTACCTGCATGTGTAAAAATACAAGTTACTCCTCAAAACAATCTTATAGACATTTACTCTTTCTGGCTGGCTTCACTGCATGTAGACGGATGATCTCGGCCCGAGGGCTGCGGCCTGTTTGAACAGCAACATGTGCCGTGAGGAAGAGTAGACCCGTCATGAATAGAACAGTGTGTGTGTGTGTGTGTTAAGAGAGGAAAGTGTAATGTAGCGACAGCAGCAAGAAAGAGGAAAAAAAATATGAGGAGGAACAACAGCTCAAGCCAGAAATATGCTGTGGTTCAACCTGGCCCTCTTTCCACAGGAAGTGTGACGGGCCCAGGGTCGGTTAGTCTTTTAATAGAGGAATGTGCAGCCTCCAAAACCCTGTCTGCCTACCAGCAGATCTGGGGTTTCTGTCCCCCGACAGAGAGGAATACCACATGGATCCAATATGAAGCGTCTCGCCGTCGTCCTTTTTTCAATATCCCCTCAAACAGACTTGGCTGAACAGTGTAGACTTGTTTTTTTTTTTATTCCCTTAAAAAAATACCACCAGCTCCTGAAATTCTCTTTCTGTTGTTCGTTTCACAGAAACCAAACGGTCCATTAATTAACCGGTCGAGCGACGGCCACGGATTGTGAAGACGTCCTATTTTTTTTAAAAGGAAGATGTGAGAATGTTAAAGCTACTTGTTGACATCAAACACAAAAACAGGTCCTGATCTATATCAAACAGTGCAGATTAAAAGGAGCTCACTCCAGCAGCTCAATGTGCAACTCTGAAATGCAGGTACGCACTCAATGTAAACAAAGTGCTCAGATGAATCTGTCTCAACATTTGAAAGACTGACCTACATTAGGCTGGCAGTTGTTTGCAGAGGTAAACAAATACAAGCAGTAATTTTACCGTTCAACCTATTTTCAGCCACTTCGGCTGTTCCTGCAGGTAAACAAACACTTGGTAGATGGCACACAGTAACAAATTTAGTTTATAGATCCTTAATTATACATTTTAAATAAAACAATATTTGTGAAGGCTATCATCTGTGGTTGTTGTAGCTTCAAATAAATCAGCTTTGGCTCGTGGAAACTCCACTAAGCGTAACTACAGGTGAAACTCTGACCTGCTGAAACAAACACAGGCAGGTCCTGATGCATCTCAGTAATCCAGGTAAAAACTCAAAAAGAAAAAAATTGTATAGGTCTTCTGGACGGGTTCTTCTCTAATGAAACGTTTCRTCTCTYCTCCAAGAGACTTCTTCAGTCTGAGAGTTTCAGGCAAAATTCAGGCTTTTAAGCCCTGCTTCCATGTGACTGATACTCACATCACATGGCTATCGTTGACACCTAATTAACACTTATTGTTAACAGGGGGTGGAGTGATACTGGCAATAGCCGCGCTGTAGGAGGGGGACAGCTGAAAACGGAGGCCCCCACCTCTGTTTAATGMYRGACGGTCTTTCTTYACAAAAATGGCTTCTTTTACTCCTCTCTCAAACCAACGTTCCTCYCTATCAAGAATGAGAACATCCTCATCTCTGAAAGAGTGACCGCTGGCCTGTAAATGAGTGAAAACTGCAGAGTTCTGCCCATTAGATGTAGCTCGTCTGTGTTGGGACATTCTTTTGAACAGTGGCTGCTTTGTTTCCCCGATGTAAAGATGTAAACACAGGCAGGGTTTCCATACAGTTGCAATTCTAAATCTCCATACCTTTTCACACAAATTTTCAAAAAATTCACACGGACTTTTTCTCTCTTTTTTAAAGTCTTTTTGTAACACTGAAAGTCTGTACATTTTCTGTGAACGGTTATAATGACCCATGTATTATTAGAAATTTAATTTAAAAAAGGTTTGCTGATCTCTAGAAGAGCTGAATCTGTGAGCCCACTTCTGTACATTGTCCATATGTGGTCCAAAAGTTCACCATCAACTCAAAAACTAAGACACTGGTGGTCTGAGTGAGATAACTGAGCAAACCATGATCACTACATCTGTGTTTATCTTTATATACAAAAGCGGTCTAAGTTTTTCATACTGTGACCTTATTTTTGTATTAAAACCAAATTCATACTTTCCCATCCTTTTCAATACTGCCTGAATGAGGCTTCAGCATTAATGTTTCATGGCAACAGCTTCATGTGTAGTTTCGAGCTGAAAGATAATCATAGACACGCATGTTGCTGCCAGCCTGTGATCTTTACTGTCTTATCTGAGGAACAAGTGAGGAGGAACAATGATAACAGAGCAGCTTTTCAACCACCTCGTATCTCCGTCCGGAGGAGAGGGCTGAGCTGATTTCCGACACGAGTCCTCCCCTGAGTCGTCTCTGTGTGAAACTACAAACCTGTCAGAGCCAGGACTTCCTCCTATTCTACTTCCAAGGACAAATGGTGAGGAAGAGAGGGTGGAGGTGAGGTGGGGGAGATCCCGCAGCAGGGGAGAGCTTCCCGGATCCAGTCACCCCCCCCAAAACAAATTCCCTAAGGGGGCAAAGGTCAAAAGATCAGATCATTGTCCACCCTGTCCACAGCTCCACCCTGTGACCTGCTCTGAACCCAGACTTCAGCTTTGGCTTTTGAACAAAGCAAAAGGCACAGCTCGACAACACCAGGAGGCCAAATGAGCTGAGGTGGTCTGCAGTTAGAGCAGAGGAAGTTTGGAAAGTGCAGCTACTATCTGTCAAATGTAAACAACAGCCTGACAAACCTGATGCTCTTTCCATGAACGCCGTGGTGCGTTTGAGTCCTTCTGCTGATGCTCGGATGCGAAGTGTCGCAGTGGAGCACAAAGACATCCAGTGTGTGTTTGCTGGACGGAAACTCTTAATGAGATTAGATGGTGTGTGTCTGTGTGTGTCTGCGTGCGCGCGCGGACGTTACACAGCCATGACCAAAATCTCTTCTCTTCCTGTTCACTTATTCGGTGGACAACAGTCCACTACAAGCACGTCTAAACAACAATCGCAGACTTCATCTTTTATATTTTAACCTTTCATTTTGAGTCAGCGTTTGCCTGAAAAGTTACGGTGAGTGTTTGCGCACACACGTCTGCCCCACTGACTCATTTTCAAGATGTTGCTCGAACCGGAAGACGACGTAAATCTGTCCAAACCTTCATCAAAACCCAGAAACCGACTCTTTTCAGAGGAGCTGAAAACGAAGCTAAACGCGTACGGACACTAAATATGAAGGAAATACCGGTCACTAAAACTCCTATTACTGCAGTGTGTTAACAATTAGCTACAAAACTAGCGACCAACAAACAAAGCGCCTTTTGTGGAGAGGGGAGAATACTTATTTTTGAGTTTACCTGCGATTTCTGGGTCGGTCTCTTCGGTCCGAGAAACTTTACGGCGAAGCCTGTGTGATTCCTTGTTTTTCCATGCTTACTTCTGGTCCGCACCGTTGTGCCGGACTGAAATCGGATCCTGGGCTTTTTTTCTGTTTCTGAGCAGGAAGTTGGAGCAGGCAGACGCAGAGCCGGCTCACTTCCTCTCCCCTACGATTCCCCAGGCGGTAGCCGTCTGTGTAAACACACTTTTCCTCTCCTCCTCTGCCCGCCCGATGACGGCCAGCAGTGGGCCTGCTCGCAGTCCCGCACTGAAACAGAAACTCCCGACGGAACGTGAACTGACATCATCCGTACCGCGAGACCGCTGTGGTGCGTTCAGGTGCGCCTCGTTTACCCGGGCTTCTCCAATACAAGCCAACGCGTTATGATTCATAGGACGTTTTTCAGTGTTTGGGTTTTGTTTTATGGGGGAATTCTCTTTGTTTATGATAAGAAATGACAAAATAAATAAAAGTAGTAAACAGAAACGGTTCAAAGAGTACAAAAGTTTTAAAAATTTACATTTCCTCCAAAGGTTGACCTTTTTAGCATACATGTTTTATTTATTTCTTTATGCTTCTTTTGCCATTCTGCTACTATTTTCTTTTAGATGTACATGCTATTTTTAACTTTTAGCTGCCATTTAGCTACTTTCAGCTTTTATCAGTTGTTTTGATATTTTTGCTACCATTCTGCTTATTTTATATTTAGTGTATGATTTGCTGTTTTTGTCAATATAATGTTAATTTTAGCAACTATTTAGTGATCTGTTAATCAGAAACAGAATAAATGTTTGGGATGATGTTCTGCTTTTTGGTTTTGTTGTTTACTTTGTGAATCAGTCTGACAAATGTACCTTTTAATGAGGCATGCTCAGTCATGAGTTATAAAGAGAATTCATTGGGGCAGTTTTGTAGAATTTAAAGGTCTTTTAGAACAAAACTGTTTTCATTCTTACAAGTTATAAACATAAAGGCCATTGATTTAGTTATAAGTAAAAAGAATAAAACAATGAAAGCCACACAAATAATAAATATACAACAATAATTAATCTATTTAACATCATATTTTGGTGTCAGAAGGCTTGTAAATCTTGATTGTAATAATAAATATTACATTTTTGAAGTTTTCAGAGGGCAGGCCCACAATAAGCTGCACATCATATGGAGTGATGTCAACTCACTGCCGTTTCTGAGGACCACCTGTGGATCTGTGAAGACAGCTGCATTTTTAAAATCTGATTGATTTAATTCAGTGTTTAGCTGCAGCTGCAGCAGGACAGGATAAAGCAGTGAGGACCTGCAGCAACTCAGCTCTTCTTTATCCTGAAGACTTTCCAAGCTGCAGGACAAGAAACACACAAGCAAAAGGACAGAAACCTCTTAGCTACAGGCATATGGAGGAAATCAATGGATATTTCATAAAGGTTCAGTCATTTAAAACTTACATCCATGAGCACATGCTTTACAGTTTCACACAAAAATGAAAATTTGTTGTATTTATAGCCAGAAAGCAACATGAGTGTGCATTTTACCTGTCTGTCAGCAAAATATCTAAAGAATCTCCCAAAAAGTAATAATTTAAATACTGACAAATTTATAGACAACTCAATTCAAGATGGCCGACATATCCTATCAACATTATAAGCACAAAGATGAATATATTTCAGGTAATTTTGCATATTTAAGCTCGGATTTGTGTGGTGGTGGCCAAGAATCATCCACAAGCTACTCGAGATTGAACAAAATCTTGGAGTCTGTCTGATAGCAAAATAGTTTATGAACCAACAGGCAGACTTTAATTAAACTCCCAGAAAGTAATCTTTCACAAAATGTCTTTTTGAGTCAAACCAGTTCAAGATGGCAAATGCAACTAACAGACCTTACTCAGGCCTCAGAGCTACTGGAACAGGTAATGGTCTGATAACGTCCAGCTCTTTGAAAAACTTTATTCTTTACAAAGGACCAAAAATAAGTCAAAAAGTAGGACAGTTATTTTTCTTATGAAAAGTTAGCTTGCTGCTAGTTATCTATCAGCTTAGCAATCATTTAGTGATGACATTATTATTGAGTTTTTTTTAATCAGTTAAACAGTATTTTAATGCTAAGATTGAGTCCAGGTCCACTCTGATGATATTTATTGATTCCCTGTTATAATTTACATTCACAAATCACAGATTATTTCTCTAATTTAATCTGCTAGCTTCATAATTTACATGTTATTTACTTGACTTTTTAAAGCTGACTGAATTCACTTGGCAGTAAAAACAGAATACTTAATCTATCTGTTGATGTAGGAGCTGAATACAGAGAGTCAGAGGCAGCACAGAGGGTCTCAGGTAGGACAGAGGGTCTCAGGTAGGAGGACAGGGTGTCTCAGATAGGACAGGGTGTCTCAGGTGGGAGGACAGGGTGTCTCAGGTAGGACAGAGGGTCTCAGGTAGGAGGACAGGGTGTCTCAGATAG